CCACAGTGGAAGAAATGAATTTATTGATTAACAATATAAAAGTCTTTAAATTAACACAAATAATACTAAACAAATCATAAAACTTATGAAACCGTCGCCTAATAGACACATATATACATGTATTAGTACGCGCGTAACGTGTCTTTTCCTCGTGGCTCAGATGTCTAGATATTGACACCGTGTTCCTTTGAAAGGTTGCCACGTCAACGATAAGACGTCATAGGTAAGAAAGTAGAATGATGTGGTATCGGCGTGGGAAATGCAAAAGCCAACGATGAATTTGATTACAAGCGATGCAATAAAACGGTGCCACGTGACAAATACGGTAGCGATACATTTAATGCTTCAAACGGTGTTTCGTATATAAGCCTGCACGTGCCGAAGCAGTTGAGCTGAAATCGAGAAGAAAGAAAACAGCGAAGAAGACCAGAAAGAAGAAGATGGAGAAGTATCAGATCTGGAGCAGTAGGATAGTGTTGGGAGCTTTCGCGTTTGCGCTACTGTTTCTAGCGGCCTCAGCAGACGACGTCGTTGTGCTCTCTGAAGAAAACTTCGAGAAGGAAGTTGGTCAGGACAGAGGAGCTCTCGTCGAGTTCTATGCTCCCTGGTAACTTACAATCTTTTCGATCTCTTACTCTCTGTTTCCATTAACTACCGCTTCTTTCATTATTGTTTTTGAAATCGTTAGGTAGGGTTTTTGTTGACGGATTCCGGTGTTTTCCTTTATTTTCTTCGCTTCGTTCCGATCGCATGTGTTCTTTGCGTTTAGCGTTTCAACTTGTCGTTTAACTTCTATTGGTTTGTAGTTACTTATCGACTTATAGATGATACAATACGATGCTGTTTTGACTTTTGGTGCAATTTAGTTCCTCCAGATTCTATTGGAAGCAATGTCCTTCAGTTTAGTTTGTAAACTTATTTTTGAAATTAATAAATTAAATTAAAACTACTACTCTACTTTATTTAAATTCAACTAATTTAACTAATCAACTGTTTGGGTCCTTTGGTCAAATAGAGGATAATATCCCCTGTAATTATTCAAGAAGGAGTGAATGCTGCATAACCCTGTCCAAAACTCTTGCACAAAAGGTCGTGATCAGTCATTGTACATTTAAAACTTCATGAGAATAACCTGTTCGTTGCACCAGTCACTGGTGAATTTCTTTATATTGTGTTGTGTACTAATGTTCTGAATATGTTTTATCCCTCTTTTGTCATAATAGGTGTGGACATTGCAAAAAGCTAGCTCCAGAATATGAAAAGCTTGGAAGCAGCTTCAAGAAAGCCAAATCTGTTTTAATTGGGAAGGTCAGTTCCATGGTGTTTCTTTCAAAACTTTGAATATTGTTTGCTGTTTTCTTCTGTTTATTTAATTTCTTTTGTGGTATTTTCTAATCTTCAGGCATTTTCTCTATTTATGATTGTCTGTTTATTTTATCGAATTGATAGTCGCTCAGTGTGGTGTGGAGCATGTTCATTTTATGGACTTCCTTCTTATCGAAGAAGTCTAAGCTACAACTTCAACATTTACTACATAATTGTTCGAGTTATCTTTTCTCCTACCATGCACCCTTCGTATAGAAAAAGTCTAAGCTACAACTTTAACATTTACTATATAATCCTCGAATTATCTTTTCTCCTTTCTTGAACTCTTAGTTTCTTCTTAGCAAATGTCATCTCCTCCTCCCTTCCTTTATTATCTCTAAATACACACACAAACAATCAAAATGGATAGTCAGGATTAGATTTCAGTAAAACAATCTTAACCATTCATGTATAGTTATATAATCAAAGATTAGTTCACCTCTCACTCTCCCACTATATATGCACCCAATCCTCCAGGCCAACTACCAAACACACTCAAACACATGTGGTGATCCTTAACCATAACTAGAAGGGGTTGGAACATCTATAAAAACTGGCATGCTTTGTGAATGTGGTTGTATGTTTTTATTTTTGCCCGTTCTCAACAACAAGGCAATAATTTCATTACCCATTAAATGGACATTAGCTTACTTCTTAATGTACTGTAGGTTGACTGTGATGAGCACAAGAGTTTGTGCAGCAAATATGGAGTCTCTGGGTACCCAACACTTCAGTGGTTTCCAAAAGGATCTCTTGAACCCAAAAAGTGAGGAGATCTAGGCTATTGGAATATAACATGCAAATGATTTTACGTCTCATTTCATGGTTATTTATCTTTCGCTTTTCACATATATCATAACTTCTGCGTTCAATAATTGATTTTGGAAAATTACCACAGGTATGAAGGGCCACGCACTGCTGAATCACTTGCTGAGTTTGTAAATACAGAAGGAGGTACTTTTTGAAGTCTTTGAAGCCTTGTGCCATACTATCTTTAAAGGAAAAACGCATTGTGATATTAAAATATCTGTAACTTCGTAGGGAGTGTAGTATCTGGAGCATCTTCCACAAGCTTTTAAAAGAAAAAAAACATTTTGTGGGACAAACTTACAAACTCACTAACTTTTAGGTTTCATTCGTGTCTAAGAAAAACATTGACGTACACACTTTCCCTAGATCTTTTAGCTTTTAATCATGTTGGAGATAAAAATCATCAGTATTGGGTTTCCCCTGTGTGTTCTGTGTGCTTCTGCCTTGCAATTTATATTGATTCCTAACCAGAAAATATGATTGCAGGAACAAATGTGAAGATTGCTACAGCTCCTTCCAATGTAGTGGTCCTAACACCTGAAAATTTTAATGAGATTGTCTTGGATGAAACCAAAGATGTCTTGGTTGAGTTTTATGCACCATGGTACCCAGCAATAATTTTCATTTGTTTCTATTTTTTCTTTAACTCATGCTTTGTTTTGGTCTAGAAGTTGTTTGGTAGAACTTAGTTCAAATTACATATTATTTGAAAACTCTCATACTGCTAGATCTAATAAATTTTACGATTCTTCTAGGTGTGGGCATTGCAAAAGTCTTGCTCCTGTAAGTATATCTCTGAGCATTTCATGTTGTCAATTTAATGTTGGGCCTTTAATTTTTGTAAAGCCAATAATATGAAACCTGACTGTGCTCTTTTTACCTTCAGACATACGAGAAAGTTGCCACAGCATTTAAATTGGAGGAAAATGTAGTCATTGCTAATCTGGATGCTGATAAATATAGGGATCTGGCTGAAAAGTGAGTTTTATCTATCTGATCTATTATTCTAATGAGTTGTGTTTGTTCTGGCAAATCAAACCTTAGCTGCAAAGGCCGGTAGAAGTGAACTTAGAGGCCCTAGTGCTCGTTTGTAGTTCCTCTTTTCGTGTGATGATATGAACCTCTTTACCTGTTTAGCGAATACATTTCAATGCAGTTCAGATATGGGCTTTGATATAATATGGGAAAAGAAAATAGTAAAGGAGCTGAAACAGATGGATGTGCTAATACTGCTAGTGCGGTGGATACGTTACTAATGTGCTTACGATGGTTACGTAAACAAAAAAATTGAGCTTACTGTAAAGGTTGACGAATACAACATAAATAATTGAAGTTTCCTGGAATAATGTATGCAGGTTTGATGTGAGTGGATTTCCTACCTTGAAGTTCTTCCCAAAGAGCAACAAAGCCGGTGAAGAGTACGGAGGTGGAAGAGACTTGGATGACTTTGTGGCTTTTATCAATGAGAAATCTGGTTCAAGTCGAGATGGAAAAGGGCAACTTACTTCCCAAGTGAGTGAATTCACATCAATGAGGAAAAGCTAGAATTTTGTTTTGTTTTTGTTTTATCTTTTGGTGGGGGGTGGAAGTTAAACTTGTTACACTTAGTATCTTATTCCTACGTTTGGTATTTCTGTCTAGGCTGGTAGAGTAGAAAGTTTGGATGTCTTGGTGAAGGAGTTTGTCGCTGCCAGCGATGAAGAGAAAAAATCCGTGTTTACCCGAATTGAAGAAGAAGTTGAGAAGCTTCAGGGTTCAGCCTCAAGGTAAACTTGAATATTCTTGCAAACATCATCCTGTAGAATATTTATGAGTGGCGTATGCTTTCAACTATGTTACTTAAGAATAGCTTAATTCGTATTACTGTGTTGCGTATATTCTAGAAAACATCATCCTTTAGAATATTTTTAAGTGGCATATGCTTTTAATTGTGTCACTTAGACAATAGCTTATTTCGTATTACTGTAATGATCCAATTAACTAGAAGTAATGATCCAATTAACTTTTTTTATGATCAGTTACGGGAAGATTTACTTGAAAGCTGCCAAGAATTCCTTGGTAAAAGGTTCCGATTATGCTAAAAACGAAATCCAACGCCTGCAGCGCATACTTGACAAGGTAATAGAAATATTCCTCCTCGATGATAAATATAATTCACTATTTGATGATTCGCCTTCACCGTAAAAAATTAATTCACTTTTTCTCGCTGTAAAGCTATTCCAAACACTGATTTTTTTCTCGCTGAGAAGCTAATCCAAACATGCTATATATTATTCAAATTTAAAGACTTCCTTGAGAAAAAACTTGTAATCTCGAAATAATTGTTTTGCAATAATTAAATTTGGTCGTAGTTGAGATGAAAATTGAAAGTGTAACTCGCTCGTATTTTATTGATTGATGCAGTCTGTTAGTCCTGCTAAGGCCGACGAGTTTACTCTAAAGAAAAATATCCTGTCTGCGTATGCTTGATTCAATGGTGCAATTGACCATCCTGCTTGGAAGCATGGGATATCCACCACGACTTTGATATCAACATTGCTGGGAGATATTTGACATGGAGACTTGTAGTGCTTAATTTGAGTCTGTATTAATGATCCTATCTTTTATTTGGGGATGAAAGATTACCATTCTTCTACCCCCATCGAATTATACCTGAGCGATTTAAAATTTTGAGGACTACTGACTTTTACTTCGGCCTATAGCTATTTGATTGTGGCCGTAAATTTATCACGCTTATAGCATGTCAATTATCTATTCGATTCTTGTGGTCAATTTTTTCATTTAAAATCTTCAATTATATTAAAATAAACTAACGAAATAAAAAATTAGTAAGGTAAAATTCCGAAGCCATACAACTATTTACTACATAGAACTGGGTCATAAGATAAAAGACGAACACATTTTGGCCATAGCTAACACAAGCAACCATCTCGCATTGGAGACACTGGATTGACACAATGCAATGCTACTTAACACCATTCCTTTCAGTACTCTCTCTCATCAACTAGAGATTTTATATATGAGCATGATCTTTCCTCAGGATCTATGTTAGGAGCAGGGTCTTGGTTAGAACCAAAAGGCAGGTCCAAAGATGCAGAGGATGGTTGTGTTCTCATCTGCACAGATCTTAGAAGTGCAGCTCTTCTCAAGTCAGCTGAGTGGCATATATCACTTGGAGATGATGGGAAGCGACCTTCAGAATCTGACCCTCGCTGACGAGGCTGGGGGCAAGTTGCAGCGGAAACGGTTGAGCCATGAGAAGCATTTGAACTTGAGGAAGGTGCCGAAGATAATACATTCTGCGACTTATGGTACCTATGTGGAGAAGAAACTGGACTACTGGGAAGACTGTCGGGCTGGGACGAACAACTGTGCACAGGAGTCTCACAAAACCTCAAGTCATCTGAATCTTCTGACATAGGTGAATATTGTAAAGATATATCATCTCTGAAAATAAATTCAACACAAGTAATTATTGTAAACGTTGCTAATCATTGGGTAATAAAACTAATTAATTTTAACAACAGATTGTCTGCAGTTCAATTCTTATGTAAAAGATGTCCCAAATTATATACTCTTTCAATTTTCAGAACATGAAACTAATCTAACAGTCATATAAAAACCAAAACAATCTTGTTTTCGGTCCTTTTTGTTAATCTCTGAACTACACTATTAATATACTTTATCGCTTTTCTAGTTATACACCCATATAAATTTCGAGTATTTTAGTTATTTGCTTAATCTGCTAGTATTTTCAACATTTGATAACATGATAATATGGAATTTTATGCGTGCGGGACATATTAAATATGTTAATTATGCATTTATGATACCAAAGCATATATGACTAAATTGACTATGAATAAAGCCGTCTACAGTCATGTTGATTATGAGATTTGAATGTAACCATAAACTAAGACACACACCATATGGAATATAAATATGAATATGTACCAATTATTCAAGCATATAGGATATGAAACAACAAATGAAGTAGAGTTAGCAACAATTTTTATCATGCATGATCATTTTTACGGGTGTGTATGTATACATTGGAAAATAATTTTAATAGATTTTGGGTCATATAACGATGGGAAAGTTTTAAAGGTATATATACTGCAAGAGAAATCAAGCAACATGTCTAAGGACTAGAGTCACTTCATATTTGACCCAGTTGGAAATCTACCAAAGAACTCTAGTCAATCCTCTGCAAGCTATGGCTACTTGCTAGTTCAATCTTTGTCTCCCCCTCCACAAAATAAAAATTACAACGCATGATTCCATGATTTGTTTGTAGTATTTTACTTTTTTGAACCAAAAATCCGCATACTTGAGTCGGGTGAGTTGCCTATTTCTCAGGAAGAAGGGATATGGGGATCACATACACATCTGAATCTAGGGTGCATCAACTTTTGTCTAATGACTAGAAAGTATCTGGTTGTGATTTCTAGTCCCTACACCTACCCATTATTACTCCAAAAGTACACATCAAATAGCCCACATAAGAGGCACAGTAGTAAGGAGGAGCTTTCGACCATGAAAATGACAAATTTCATGGTCAACAAGGTTCTGTTTAAAGAGAACCAAGTGAAGAGACTAATATTACCAATTATATATATGTTTGCATGACAGCAAAATGATAAATGGATGTCTCAGTGTCCAAATGACCATTTGACTAGACACAAACAAGGGCCTTCTACCCTTTTCAGGTTTGGGGTTTCTTTGCAAAGAAAACCAAAGTAAGGAAAGTTTTAGTATTCCTGCACCACCCCACCGAAAAAAATATAGAGCATAATAACATGCACCACTACAGGTGAACATTAATTCAGACTCAAGATCTGCAATAGAGATACCGACAGAACTATCTTCTGTATCTATCAATGGCCAAATGATGATTTTATGAAAACTTAACTGAACTCTGGCATATAACGGAGAGAAGAATAATCACAAAAGTAACAAGGAAGATGAAAATAGTATAATTTACACAAGATTTCAAAAGCCAGCCTACACTGCCAAACCAAAACATGTATATTAAATGTAACAATGCAAGAGACGATAACTAATGTCCTGAGCAATTAGCAGCTTACTCAAGTTCCACTAATTTCCAACTGTTACAACTGAAATGCATCAAAATAAACCTCAATCATAGAAATAGTTATTCATAAAACCCCAAAGAGTGAACAAATCTTACACGGAAAAGTAGTTATGATTTTACCTGAAAGAGAACACGCTTTCAGACCTTGCCGGAGATTCCATGAGATTATCAGGAAGCGAGTCCCCAACTGTCAATCCATTGAGACTGGATGCCATTATCTGGGCACAGAAACAATAAATGTAAGTTACTCTAAATTAATGATGGTTAATTTCATTTGACTGCAACAAAAACAAGCACGAAAATAAAATATTAAAACCACAAGGTATCAACTCAAACAAAGATCTATGTGACGAAAAGAAACACATGTTCCAACAAAAAAAAAAACACGCTCAAGACAAGTCTCTCAAATCCAAACAATACTTAAACCAAGACAATTATTGATAAATTAAATCGAGATTGAGAAACATATATTAGAAAAACACAGTTAAGCTGAAAGGCCATGGCAGGGCATTTCACAAAGATAACTGCAGAATGATTAAAAAGTCTAACTCAGCGAAAAACAAAAAGACAAAAGAAAAACAATTAAGAAAGTAGGTTAGTGTAAAAACATTAAAATAAAGGAAGTAATAATAAAACGACAAAAGGGGGAAATTTGTGTAACCTCGCTTAGGTAACGTTTGTGGGAGCGAAGATTGTCGAGGTAAACTTCCTCTTCAGGATCTCTGGTGCGCTTGGCACTGGGCGAGGATGTTGAGGGTGTCCCTCCCAAATTGGAATCAGAACCCATTGTTCAGACCAACTCATCTAAACCAAGGCTTTCTCTTTGGGGTGGGAGGAAGAGTCTGTTCAATGCTGAAACCCTAATTTATTGTGCAGAGAAGGCTTACGCTTCGCGTTCGGTCTTCCTTCACAGTGAAACATAGCAGTATCAGAGTTGGTTCGGTTTTGAGGCCTCAGGAAAACGATTGGAGGGAAACCTACTATGTTCTCTTTGCTCTATTTCATGATCCTAGACACGCACCTTATTCCCGACACGTGTTGCAATGCTAAACACTTTTTTTCGTAAAACTGTTTTTATTCCCTGTGTTTAGCATGATCAAAATTTAAGAGAGAAATATTCATTCTCAAAGATGATTCATTGTAGACACACGATGATATTACATAAAAAAAAATAGTGATATAAAAAATAGGCAATAATTTTGAACAATTTTTATTTTAGAAATTATATCTATGTAAATCAACAAAACGTTGATTCTCCGATTGCGGAAAATAGGTAAGAAAAAAGGTCATCATATACTTCGTAATTCTCCATTCAATTTATTATACACGCAACATAATCGGTGTAAGTAACAACGTAATGAAAATGAATATGATACATTAGAATAAGACTTATATCTGAAATTTATTTGTAAACCATATTTTTTTAGATGGAGATGCCCTGTCGTGTTCCTCTAATAATATCATTTATAGTTTTTTTAGTTTTTATTTTAGACACGATTCAAGAAAATTGATCATGCATAAATATAATGTGTGAAAGACATTTTTCAAGTTAGTGTTTTTAACTATCACTTTTATTCTTGCAAAATATAAAATCAAAGGATATTAATAATTTGATTGGAAAGGACAAAAGTTAACTTCTGGTATATTTTCTGCTATCCATGTGTTCTTTTTTTATTCATAATAATTGGAGTTGAGTTTATATTTGTTCATATGTAATTAAATTATAACTTTGTAGTCTAAGGATAACTGGTTTTAATATATATACGGTTATCAAAATGATGTGTCAATTCGTAAACTCGTTTCAGTTTATTTTTTCATATCTCTAATCTCATTTAATTAGTAGTAGAATCGTTTTTTTATAAACTCGTGTAAACTTGAGTAAACTTGCTTAAACTCGCCTAAAATTGAGAGTTTAAAAACGATTCAACAAGCTTAGTTGGATATTAAACAGTTCTATATGGAAGCTCTTTCCGCTCTTGATCGAGGTGTTCGACTATGGAATCACCGAGCGACGTGCTATGGTTGATTGAGTGGTTTGTGCGTAGGGTCCTTTCATATGCACTTAAGAGAAAATAACAATTCGAATTCAAATGGTCAGAAAATGTAGTCAATCAAATTAATATAAAAATAGTTTAGATTATGAAGCCGGATGGCCGGACAGACAAGACTGTTTGGTCTTCAGTTGAACGTTTGAAGGCCAAAAATGAGGAATTTGTAGGCCTTGTGACCTGCAAAATAGATTAGGACAATGACTATGATAATATAAATATGCGTTGCTCAGGATACACTAAATGAGGGTAGAGGTGCCCAGTTGATGCTTGCACGAGAGCCAAGCCATTGGAACCTGACAAGGCCAAACGCAAGACTGAACATAGGTGATCCAACTGTATGAGCGTAAAGGGAATGAACCTTCTTGTGCAGGATATTTTTACTCACAAAAATATGCATAAAATAAAATAAAATAAATGCTTCGACATTTTATATTTATTTTTATAATGAGAAGCCATTAGAACTTGACAAGGCTGAACGTAGATGGTCCAGTCGATCTAACGGGAAGAGACTGAACCTTCCTATGCATGATATTTTTACTCAAAAATATATGCGTTAAATAAAATAAAGCGAACACTTCAATATTTTATAATTTATAAATTATAATGAAAAGTCATTAGAACCTGATAAGACTAAACGTAGGAATGAACCTTCTTGTACATGATATTTTTACTCACAAAAATATGCGTTAAATAAAATAAAACAAACGTTTCAATATTTTATAATCTTTTTCATTTCATGGTTCATTGGCTCTCTCCTGCAACAATCTAACTGTTTTGGGTGTTGATGTTGATTTGCCTATTGTACCAACTAATTTCTCCTTATATCTTCTTCACACTACTCCATCTTTGTGTTTTTGTTTTTATTCTCTTCCACACTTTGCCATATCTCACTATTTTCAATTATCTCTCAACCTCAGTTTTAGGGTCGACGACACCACATGGTAGGGTTTTAACTTTAAATTTTAATCACCTTTTACTATTTTGGACCATTGGACCTCCCTTTTACCTTCGGAACTTTTGGACCAACATTTAAGTTCAACAACTTTTGGATCAATAACATTATAAATATTAAATTAATATGTTATTTATAAATATTTTAAAATATTTTATATGAAGTAAACTCTTACGTGTTTACGAGGTTTTCACGAATTTACGTATTTGACAATCTTTATATATATATAGGGTTAAATATGTTTTTAGTCCCTAAACTATTGGCCGTTTCTGGTTTTCGTCCCTCTTCCAAAGTAAGGTACAATTTGGTCCTCATTCTTTAGAAAAACGTTCGTTTTAGTCCTCAAAATTTTGTTTTTAGTCCTCGTTTTAGTCCTCAAAACGTTCGTTTTTTCGACTAAAACGAACGTTTTTTAAAGATTGAGGACTAAATTGTACCTTACTTTGGAAGAGGGACGAAAACCAGAAACGGTCAATAGTTTAGGGACTAAAAACATATTTAACCCTATATATATATATATATATAATAAAGTATAATGAGCTCAAAATATTGTATTATTTTTACAAAAATTTATACATCTAAATAGAAATTGTTTTGGTTGAATTTGTCCGAGGGTCGGTCGTCCTTCTTTGCTCTGCTCTCTTTTGATCCTCCAATCCTCTTCGAGAACACAATCCACTCCGATGAGTTGTTGACCTACAGAAGACACTTCGACGCTCAAGTCAAATATGTTTCATAAAGAGGTCTCTATTTTACTAAGATAGATTCAAGTTATTTTACCTTGACATCAATAGTATATTTATAGGCTTGCGGCAGCCAAACACATTGATTAACCATTAATGCAATATATATTTAGGCAATAAAACCCAATAATCAATTATTAATACCGTCTAATTGTAAAACGTGAGGCAATCTGACCCATTAATACATGCTAATATACCTGCTAACTGCCCATAATTGATCGGTATATTTCATATAGTATATAACTCCCCCAAGCCCAAGCAAGCTCTTTATTAAAAGAGGTGCGCAAGGATTACTATGAGCTTAAGAGAGGTAGCTTACATTGTATTTAAGAAGTCTATTTTCGATGCGCCTTAAGTCTTCATTCCTCTCTACACCGAGCGACGGTCTTTAGAAATTTTCTTTGGAATCATCGAGCGATGTGCTGTAAGAGTTCTCTTTGGAAGCTCCTTCCACTCTTGGTCGAGGTGTTCGTCTATGGAATCACTAAGCGGCGTGATGCAGAAGCTCTTTATGGAAGCTCCTTTTGCTCTTAGTCGAGGTGTTCGACTATGGGATCACCGAGCGGCTTGATGCAGGAGTTCTCTATGGAAGCTCCTTCCGCTCTTGGTCGAGGTGTTCGACTATGGAATCACCGAGCGGCGTGATTCAGGAGTTCTCTATGGAAGCTTCTTCCGCTCTTGGTCGAGGTGTTCGATTATGGAATCACCGAGCGGCTTGATGCAAGAGTTCTCTATGAAAGCTCTTTCCGCTCTTGGTTGAGGTGTTCGACTATGGAATCACTGAGCGACTTGATGTAGGAGTTCTCTTTGGAAGCTCCTTACGCTCTTTGTCGAGGTGTTCAACTATGGAATCACCGAGCGCATCACGCAAGAGTTCTTTATGGAAGCTCCTTTCGCTCTTAGTCGTGTTTGACTATGGAATCACTGAGTGACTTGATCCAGGAGTTCTCTATAGAAGCTCCTTCCGGTCTTGGTTGAGGTGTTCGACTATGGAATCATTGAGCGACGTGATGTAGGAGTTCTCTATGGAAGCTCCTTCTACTCTTGGTCGAGGTGTTTGACTATGGAATCACCGAGAGGCTTGATGGCGGAGTTCTCTACGGAAGCTCCTTTCGCTCTTGGTTGAGGTGTTCGACTATGGAATCACCAAGCGGTGTGATGCATGAGTTCTCTATGGAAGCTCCTTCCGCTCTTAGTCGATGTGTTCGACTATGGAATCACCAAGTGGCTTGATGCAGGAGTTCTTTATGGAAACTCCTTCCCGCTCTTGGTTGAGGTGTTCAACTATGGAATCACCGAGCGCATCACGCAAGAGTTCTTTATGGAAGCTCCTTTCGCTCTTAGTCGTGTTTGACTATGGAATCACTGAGTGACTTGATCCAGGAGTTCTCTACGGAAGCTCCTTTCGCTCTTGGTTGAGGTGTTCGACTATGGAATCACCAAGCGGTGTGATGCATGAGTTCTCTATGGAAGCTCCTTCCGCTCTTAGTCGATGTGTTCGACTATGGAATCACCAAGTGGCTTGATGCAGGAGTTCTTTATGGAAACTCCTTCCCGCTCTTGGTTGAGGTGTTCAACTATGGAATCACCGAGTGGCTGGATGTAGGAGGCATTTCATTTTTTGCCTTGTAAACCTCTGATGGTTACCTAAAAGTTTTCAAAACAAAAGACATGCCTCTAGAAATTATTACAGAATTTTTTTCTCTTTTTGCAAAACCTGGTATTGGTCTGAAGTAGTGATGTCGAGAGTAAGCGCACGTCTGGTTCCTCGTGGTTTCATGGGGACGCCGCTCGGCCCCACGGTGGGTGCCAAATGTTTTGGTTGAATTTTTCTGAGGGTTAGTCGTCCTTCTTTTCTATGCTTTCTTTCGATCCGTCAATCCTCTCCGAGAACACAATCTACTCTGATGGGTTGTTGACCTGCAAAAGACACTCTGACGCTCAAGTCAGATATGTTTCATAAAGAGGTATCTATTTATTAAGATAATTCAGGTTAATTTACCTGGACATCAATAGTATATTTATAGGGCTTGCGGCAGCCTAACACATTGATTAACCATTAACGCAATATATATTTAGGCAATAAAACCCAATAATTAATTATTAATACCGTATAATTTGAGGTAATCTGACTCATTAATACATGCTAATATACCTGTTAACTGCCCATAATTGATTGGTATATTTCATATAGTATAGAAATATAAATAAAATTTCCATATTTTTAAACCAAACAGTTCCTATACTTTTAAAGAGC